AGAAAAAGTTCCAGCCTTAGACCAAAAAAAAAAACCTGGAAGAGTATAATTCGATTAAACAAGCACGGTCAGGCTAGGAACCTGAATGTATTTTAGAGCAAAAGCTCAAAGGTGGGCGGGGGAGAGAACAACCTATTTGGTAACAAGGTGTACTATAATACCGTGATATAAAAAAAGGTATGGTGAAAATGTACCTTTTACTAAAGCTTATACAATGTACAAGTTCCTTGGTCCATAAAAACTATGTTAGATTTGTGTCTTCTAGTTTGTTCAACTTGTATTCCAGCCCCATTATTTACTTCTTGCCCATTTAAACAAAACCAAACAAAAACCAACCAACCAACCAACAAAACTGCTGAAAACTTGATTTCCAATAGTTTGTACATTTTGATGTTTTGTTTTGTTTTGTTTTACTGTGGCTTCTGCATTTCAAATCAGCACTTGTAGACAGATAATGGGGTTTTGAATAGTATCACTTGGTACGAAAAGTTTTCTCAAGAAACCACAAAAGACTGTTCATTTTTTTCTCCTTTTTTGTCAACTGTTTGCCACACTCAAGTCAGTTTAAGTCCTAGCAAAAAGACGGTAGTTAGGATACCACTGTTGCTGTGGATGATGTGACACTGGTTGAATTTGTGCTGGCGTTTGTGTAACTTCCCTCGCTGTTTGTGTTTGATTCATTAGGGGGCACCTGGCTTGAACTGGCTCGAAGGATTGCTCCTGCTGCGCTGCAGTGTGGCCGTGGCCCTGGTTCTGGTGTGTAGGTAAAGGTAAGGCTGGTGGAATAAATGATTCCATCATTTCGGACCAAAGTTACTGGAACCTGGACTGGTTGCCTGACCCATCTCCAACCTTCTCGGAATGCAGAAATGTCTGGGACGACACAGAGCATACTTTCCCCACACCTGAGGAGGAAACATAAATCACTTAAAAGCACTTTAAAAAGCAAACTACATTTTTAAAATAAGACTTAAGGCAAGGTTGTTTAATACATTTTAACAATGCCAGGAAAGAATCTCCTGTACCCACACCCCTCACAACCTCTGGATGATGTAAAAAGTTTTATCAAGTACCTGTACATAGTTTCAGCTTCTACATCCCCAAACCACACTCGTAAATTTGGAGTGAAATTCTGTCCTGTAAGTTCAAGCATTGCTACGTCCCCACCGCCATTCAACTGCAATTCACAGAAAATCACAACACTGAGAAAACTTTTCATTTTTCATTAAAGTAGACAAATTAGATTCTCATTCAACTTTCATTTGTTTTTTTTAAAAAAGAGCAATTAAAATGATTTTTATTACAAAGCTAGCTAAAAACATTTCAATTTAACAAACAAATTATTTCCATTTAAATTTTCTGGCAAGTATGCTCCTCCTAATTTTTTTTTTAAATCAACAAATGGTGTATGTTAAAATCCCCAAATCACACAAAATTGGGGAAAAATCAAAACTCTCATGAAATGAAATGATGCCAAGCCATAACTAAGAGTAACTGCAAAGAGCTAAAGGCCAACTTGGATTAGGTGGTCTCACCTGAAGGCTCTCTACAACAGGCACAGGCGTGACTGGGGCAAGGACAGGGCCCATTCCCTCGTAAAATGTATACTCTGCCTTATCTGTGCTAATGATTGTCCAGGAAGCGCCATCATTTATCATCTCTTTATTTGGTTCTTTTGGGCATGGAGTGGCCTAATGAAGAAAGAAGTTTAGACACTAAGTTTTACACACTTTGTACTAATAGTATAAGAAAATTCTACCAAAGTAACCCTCAGACAAGAGTTCTTAAGAAGAGAATTCAGTAAAAACTTAGAAACTTTCTAAAGCACGGTGCTTTGCCAATCCCTACAAACAGAATATTAATACAGAAACCCCATGACTTCAGTTTTTGTTATAATACAAACTATTTCAGTGACATATAGTAATACCTTTCCGAACAACCAGTACAGGTACAATTTCATTAATAGCAGATCAATATCTGTGATGTACATGGATGTTTAAGACTCTTCAGGGACTCCTAAGAAAGAGAATGGGAGTCCTCATGCTTAGGAAACAGCTAGATGCATATGTGCTTTCCACAGGAGGGACTCAAGATGGGAAGGCAAAGCCCCTACCCCTACCTTAATACACCTAGACCAGGGACTCAGCATGCCCATTAGTGTGTGTGTGGCCATCTCTCTGGAACAGGAGTTTACAAAGGAGTTTCACATGAAACTGTAACTATCTTATTAAATCATCTACCCACGTCATAACTTCATGAAAGCCCAGTAAATGTAAAACATTAGGTTTTAAAGCATGTCATCATTACTATCTTGGGAAACCACGATGTAAATCTTGATGAGATTTTGAACCTTCTCCCAGAAAAATGCTTCGTCTATACAATGTTTGCACACAATTTCAGTGGATTCAATGAGCACTGAAAATCAATTTTTGGACATCCTGAGGGGCTCTTCGTTCCTCAACTAAGAACCCTGGAACTAGATGTAACTGTTTTTCTGAGAACATGTTCATAATTTTGAGTTCTTCCTTGAAAAAGGATTGCTCACATGTCTGAGGACTGTGTATTAAGGATGCTCACACCTGAGATAAATATCTGCATATATAATTAACAGCAAATGAAAAGTTCAAGCTGTTAACCTCACAGTTTGTACATTTTAGATCTTACCAGTAATTAAAAAACATACCTGAAATTGAATTATTCTTTCTTGAGAAAGGCACAAGTACATTCTTTCTGTATCCTTAAGGTAAAATGCACATTTATGGAGTTGTGACACAGGATCATCTGCATCCAATAATGCGGTCTGCTTATCAACTTTCCTAATGATCTATATTTAACAATTAAGAAATAACAGAGGTCATCCACACATGGAAAGGATTTCCCTTGTGTACAATGTCAAAAGTACACAGAAGTTATATACTAGATAATAATATATCACTGTTATTTGTCCTATGCCTACATATATAAAAACATTCACAAAAAGGGTAGGAATAAAAAACAGCTTTAGATTGCAAGCATGTCAGAATGTAGAAATTGTTACCCTCTTCCATGAACATCTAAAATAAAAACATCAGACTGGCAGGCAGTTGTTTTCTAGATCAGTGCTTTTCAAACGTTAATGTGCACACAAATGACCTGAGGTTCTTGTGAAAAATACAGGTTCTGATCCAGCAGGACTCTTGTGGGACCTAATATTCTGCATTTCTAACAAAATCCCAGGTAATGTTAATGCCGCTGGCCTATGGACCATATCATGAATAGCAAGTTCTGATGATCTTTTCCAATAATATGCATATAATGACAAATTTTCCAACATCAAAGAGAAAAATCTCTAGAAGGCTACTGTCACTGCAAACATCTTATATTCACTATCCAATACTTATGTATTTTAAAATAAAACAAAGTTAAACTCATGTTATAGATTACAAAATGGGCTTAGAGCGGTCAGACAAATTGCTCAAAATTACCAGTTTAGTAGCTGAAGGACCACAATATGACCAGAATATGGCTGCCTGTCCACCTGATATCTTTCCATTACACTCTAAAATCTTATAATCCAACTAGTCCACAAAGCACATGAATATCTGAAAGATAATACTATCGAACCCTACATGACACGTGACACCTAGAAGGTAATGGCTAAGTAGATGATCATGCCGAAGATCAAGATTTGACACAATAAACCTTTACTCTGTTTCCTTTTCTACTGATCACTTCCAACAACATACAAACATACTATCTCTCATCTCAAAATCTAAAGTAAAGAAAACCCTGACTACATACCCCTGTCCCTCCCTCTCACTACCTGCTTCTCTGCAAATGCCTCTTCCTCACTGTCCAATCTCCTGCAATCTCTCCAGCCTTTTATCTCAGGCTCCACTACAACTGCTTGTCAAAGCCACCAAGGATTTCCAGACAGATGCATCTCATGGCACTTTTCTGCCTTCATTTTACTTCGTTTTCTCAGAATCTCTCGATACATTTTGCTTTCAGGGCTACACCTGATCCAACTGACCTTTAGAATGCCCAGAGCCGAGTCAGCCCTTTTCTTCTCTCTTTATAATCTATACTGTTTAAAACATTTAGAGGTTGACAACTCCCAAATTTATTATCTCCAGACTTATCTTCTCTCTGGCATTCAATCTGTATGTATACTTAACTACCTATTCAACATTTCCACTTCTGATGTCTAACAGGCATCTCAAGCTTACCATGTCGAAAACAGAATTTTGGATTTCCTCCTAAACTTGATCCTTTCAGGCCAACTCATCTAGGTTAATAAATAGCACCAGCATTCACTCAATCCAAAAACCTTGAGTCATCCTTGATACCTTGCTTTCTCTCATACCCAACCATCCAATCTGTCAGCAAATTCTGTCAGGTCCACTTTCAAACAATCTGTCACCTCTTGCCACCTTACTACTATGATCCTGGTCTAAGATAGCATCAGCTCTTGCCTCCATTGTGACAACAATCCAAACACCTGTCTCTGCTTCCACAGCCACATGGCCATGCTCTCTTCTCCACACAGCAGCCAGATGTATGCTTCTAAACAAAAACGGGCCATCAAGCCCTGTTTAAAACCTTCCAGTGGCCTTCTAACAAACAGAGATAACATGAAGTCCTTACCCTAGATACAGAGAGGAATCCTACAAAATCTTGCCTAGGGCTAACCTTACAGCTTAAGTTCCTGCCACTTGCCCTCTCCTCCTTCCGCTCCCGCTCCACTGGTTTCTTTACTAGTCCTCACACATTCCCTGCCTTCAGTTTTGTTTGCCTGAAATGCTCCTCACTCAGTGGTTCTTTGACTTCATTCTGGTCCCTCCAGATGGCACCACTGCACTCCAGCCTGGACGACAGAGTGATACTCTGTCTCATTAATTAATTAATTAATTAATTAATTAATTCTGAAATTCAAAAAGACTTCCCTGACCTAAGTGCTCCTCCAATTCTCTAAACTTTTATTATCTTGTTTTGTCTTCTCATCGCTACATAAATCCCTTACATGGGTATTTGGCTTATCACGCTACCAAAATATAAACTCCAGGAGGAGAGGCACTCGGCTTTGCATGTCATTGTACCTCTGGCATCTAGACAGTGCCTGGCACACAGAAGGTGCTCAGGACTATTGTAGCTTGCATGTACACATGCACAAATGTAATGCTTTCCTCCACAATCTTTAATAGTAACCTCTGTGAAGACTAAATGAATCAGAATATGTAAAGATGCTTACAACAGTGCAATGTATATTATTATGCAATGTATAGCTTTTATTGCTTGAGTCACACTTCGCTTATACTAAAAGATCATTTTGCTTCCACTAATCCACAATTGTATAAAGCCCCAATCTTTAAAGTTAACATTTTTTATAATTACACAGTTTTAGCTTTGTAGTTTATTAGAATTGTCATCCTACTACCACCACCAATTTTTGAGTTTAAAAAACAGGCATTACACTTTTAGCAATTATATTTTCTAAGTCAGTTGGTGAGATTAATGAAACTCAAGCAAAATGTTTCAAATCAGGCTGGGCGTGGTGGCTCATGCCTGTAATCCCAGCACTTTGAGAGACCAAGACCAGCAGATTGCGAGGTCACGGAGTTTGAGGCAAGCCTGGCCAACATGGCAAAAACCCCGTCTCTACTAAAAATACAAAAATTAGCCAGGCATGGTAGCACACTCCTGTAGTCACAACTATTCAGGAGGCTGAGGCAGGAGAATCGCTTGAACCCAGGAGGCAGAAGTTGCTGTGAGCTGAGATTGCGCCACTGCACTCCAGCCTAGGCGATTGAGTAAGACTCTGTCTTAAAAAAACAAAAAAGTTTCAAAACAATGCTAAAGTTTTAAAGCTGCATTTAAATTCAATGAGATTAGGATATTGGGGAAATAACTGATTTTCTCAATGATGTAAGTCTAAAGCTTCCTTCCTCTAAGTCTACAGAACTCATTTACAAGTCTCCACCACAGGAGAATAGTAATTTTTCTACAGAACTGTTGCTGGTGTGCCCTACTGTTTCTCCACTGGCTAGTAAGAAGCACACTGAGAACATGGGCCACAGCTGGTTTTTCATTCATGATGATAGTTCTTTGGACATAGATATTGCTGAATGACCTAGCTCTTCTCAATAAAGAAACCAAAGCTGTCCAAAGATTGTACCAAGACCTTGCTTTGATGATTTCTAATTAAGAAAAGGAGGAAAGAAATTTTAGAAAACAAGTAGTACTAACTCTAATTTAAGCTATGTATGTGGTGGATTATGCATCCAGAAAACATCAGGAGTTACTCCAACCAGCTCTCTCTTTTCTCTAAGCTGGTTCTATAGTCTGTCTGTACAATATTTACCATACCTCTGAGGTTAAATGGATACAGCCCTAAAGGACAAGACACATGTCTTATTCATATTCTTAAATACTATACCTACTGAATGCTCAGTAAATGTTGGTGAAGTTTATTTTACTGGGTTGTTCACCAAAGCAATGATGTACTTTTATCCTTTACACTGAAGAACACTGACAAAGCCTTGGAAGTGGAGTGAAACCAGTGACACAACAGATCTTAAATAACCCCCAACTCCTCGAGTATCTGACAACTCTGATCAGTACATGGGGTAAATGGCCAACTGAGGTTTCTCATTAACTGGCTAGATCTGTGTGGACTGTGGCTGTTTTGAGAGCACCCTAAAAACAGAATACTTACTGAGACATTTATCCCATTAAAAGGTGGTCTTGGAGGGATAGTGTTTTCCAAGTAAAGTTCTCAAATGAGGTTGATATTCTAGGAAGCATTAAATGCAACTTTCAGATAACAAGGTAGGATTATTCTTTTGAAGAGCCTATGAAAGCTACAGGATGTTATCTCTGTTGAAAATGGCATGTAAATGGAGGTCAAAGGTGGTAGGAAGTAATGCAGACATCTAAAATCCAGATACAATTTTGAGGAAACTAGTCAGAATTTCTCAGTCATGAAACCCCTAGAAAGATTTATCAGCGTCTTAATAATGGTACTGTAACTTTTTCTAATAAGTTAATTTTTTATTGCAACATTTTTATATACAGCCATATAGTTTTGAGGGGCTTCAATTAATGATGCCTTTATAAAAACTTCAATTAATGATGACTTTTAAGAAAGGCAGACTACTGGTACTTGACAAACAACTGTAAATGAAAACACTGTTTTAAAATTTGGGGTTGTCCATCTGATCTTTGACAAACCAGACAAAAACAAGCAATGGGGAAAGGATTCC